AGTGGATCTTGTTTGGAGGGAACGGTATAAATTGTGCATTAAGTGTTAGTCAAGTTTTGAATTTTAAACTTCAAAAGCTGAACCGTCTTGTAACCTGTCTCGATAACTGCAATTTCAGTTCCCTATATCTATCATATCATCGTTGCTTTTCTCTCTCATATGAATCTTCTCCCGATTTCTCTCTTGTCACCAAAATTATCTAACTTACCTTTTTTGGTGTGAAGTTTTCTCTTTCGAAACCATGCCTAAATCCAAACAGGGAAACCAAAAGCTGAAGAAGAATGATCCTCCACCCTCTTGGCGTTCAACTCGTCAAAGTCAAAGCACTGAAACTCCACCAAACCCTACTACCTCCGATATGGCAACTAAAAAAGTTCAACCCTCTAAACAAGTCGCACCTAAGGTTTCACCTAGCCCTAAGAAGTCCTCCACAACCAAATTTGTTCAACCCGACCTTGCAGGTACCAGCGAGAAAAGTGGAAAGGCTTGTCCTTCCATCGCGAAATCTCTGAAGAAACGTAAGAAGGTACCAGCACCTTCTGGAGGAAAAAACAAAAAGGCGAAAAAGGTCATCCATGTACCTGAATCTCCTACTGCTAATGCTGATGTTACGAAGTCAGGAAGAGAGTCATTCCTGGACTCTGATGCTGATTCTGCAAACAAAGAAATCGCAAATTATGTTGGCGAACCTGACAAATCAGATAACAATTGTGCTGCTGTTAATGAACTGTCCCCTATTGGTGACGAAAAGGCTGTTGATGAGACTGAAGGTGACGGTCTGGATAGTGCTCTTGCTGTTGGTAATGCTTTTTCCCGTCAATTTTATTCTCTTCTATTTGAGATTCATTTTTCTGGTATTTTCTCCCAAATGAAATTTTGTCCTGAGCGGACGATTATTAGTGAGCACTTTGAACAACTTGGGTTGCTCGAACTGTTGACATCTGTTGGTCTTGAAGGTTCTGTAATCTGTTGGTAAATATTGTCCGAAACTTGTCTGTGAATTTTACTCGAACTTGACTACCTCTGTCTCTGACCCCTTGTCGATGAAGTTTCAAAAGGTTTTTGTGCGTACCAGTGTGATTGACTTTTCTCTGTCTGTGGTGAACTCCGTACTTGGTTTACCTGAAGGTTCCAAGCTCGCCCCATTGAATGATGATCTTGATGAAGTTGCTCACACCCTGACTGGTGGGCAACTTATCAAATGGCTTGCTCCAGAAATGTTTGTGAAGAGTTTAACTCCGTCCGCTAATGCTCTACAGAAGATGGGGCATCGAACTGGACACCTACCACTCACAAATAGTTTGTGACCCCTACGCAGGCTCGTGTAATCTACCGTATTCTGAATGGTATTCCTTTTGATCTTGGGTCTGTTATTTTTTTATGTTGTGGTGGCGTTTGCGGAGATCTCCAAGCCCCACAAACTGTTGCTCTATCCATCTACCGTTTGTCCAATCCTCTTCAAGGCTGGTGTGAAGATGGACCCTCGAATTGGTGACAATTTCTCCCCTACTCTCAAACCTCTTGCACTTGCTGGTGTTAAGATTGCCCCTCCTCGTCCCTTTTTAGTTAAGGCCTCTGAAGTGCCTTTCAACTTCGCGGATTCTTGAATCAACAAGTGGCAGTCCTTTCAGGACTTGAAAAGAAGTTAGCTGATCAAATAAGGTACTACAAGGAGGTGCTAGGTTCTTTGAAGACACGGGCCCCTTTGGTATCCAAATCGAAAAAGGGGGAGACAAAGAAGAAGGCCACTTTTGTTGCTGTTGAGAAGAAGAAAGTACTTGCTAAGGGGGAGAAGCCAAAGGCCGCTGATGTAACCACAAAAGGGAAAGAAAAAGTTGTTGCTGCTACCAAGGAAAAGGGAAAGGAGAAGTCTGTGGAAGAGGATGAAGGTTTTGATGATGAAGATAACGAATAAACAGGATTTGATGTTGAGAATGAGAAAGAGGAGGTGGATTTTGAAGAAGAGACTGAGAATGGTACTAAAGAAGGTTCGGAGGAGGAATCTGAAGAAGAAGAGTCTGCGTAGATCTCTCAGCTGGACATTCATATGTGTTTTGTTAAAAACTACTTGACCTTTGTGTGGATTGTTTGAACTCTTTCCTTCTGTTTTTCTTTCCTTCTTGCATGTGATGAACATTTTTCTTATTAGTATCATGTGAACTAATCTGCTCTTATTCAGGTATTCGAGTTGTTCTTATGAACAACACTTATGTGATGAGATGAGTATTCTTGGGGTTTGTTATCTGTAGTGTAGGATGTGTATTTACTTCATGCAGGTTCAGGGAAATGGCTTTCGATTTATCTGCCAAAGGGGGAGATTGTATGTTCTGAAGATTGGTAGTAAATCGATGAACCTTCTAGTGTTCACAGTATTCAAACGATCGCAAGACCATGGGAATAAGCTCGGGATTCACTTACCATAATTGCGAGGAAGAGATCGCAACTTTTGGCAACCAAGGACTTACCTTATGAGGATCTTTACTTGGACGGAAAGCTAAAGAAGAGACTTACCATGCGTGACCTGCATATAAAAGGAGGACGAAACTCATGTTGAGGACGACTTTTGAATCCTTATTATTTGTATTCTTTTATTTTCGGAGAGAAGTCATATATTCAGTTTGTTTTTATTTTGTGTGAGATTGAACAAAGTGTTCGGAGGTTCATTCTGAAATAGTTTGAGGGAAGGGATTTATGGTCAGATAAGTAGTTGTGTGAATCACTGTTCAAGTAGAGTGTAGAGAGAGTCTATACTGTAAACCCTTGGAGAATGTTTGTGATATTCACATTAATGAAAGAAAACTGAAGGGAGAGTGAGACGCTCTCCTGAAGGTTCAATTTTAAGTGAAACTGCTTCCGCAATTATTCAAATCTTCTTTACTATCTGGTTATGTTAATTACTGACAACTCTGGATACTTGGTAAACGGGTATCACATTTCAATTTTTATTAAAAAAAGGCAAAAGAAAAAAAAGGCCGCTCGCGGCACAGAATGGACCGGTCGGCCGCCTGCGATTGCGCGCAGCCCGGGCTAAAAAAATGGCTGCGTATAGCGGTCTGGTTCAGACCGACCGCAGCCAAAAATTACAGCGAAACGAGATGTGGCCGCAGTTCGACTGCGACGGTCCATTTTGTGCCGCAATCGCCGACCGGCACTTTCGACTGCGGCCGCAGTCGCCGGCCGGCGGGTAGAATTTTTTTTTTAACAAAAAAAAATCGTTAAAATTGTAAAAAAAAATTACTTGTGAATTGGAAAGCCCTTTCTCAGTGCGTGAGGATTGTCCCGCCATTTTTTCAGATTTTTTCGAGTTTATTTCGGATTTTTACAGAGTTTTTTTTTTTTTTTTTTT